GCTAAAGGTTGCCGACTCAAGTTGTAGTTAACACAGAGATGGTGTACGTTCTAGAAAAAGTTTAAAAATTGCAGAAAAAAATGCATAAAAGTAATAAAAAGTGATAATTTTTAGTAAATAGTTAAAACAGCCAAAATTCTCAGTACAACAGCTAAAAATATAGCAGGAAATTCTTTAATTAGCATAAAGAACTGTGAGGAGCACAAGTTTTCTGAACTTAGCAGAAATAATTTGTAATAGCTACAAAAAATGTGTATTTAGCATAAAGCAGCTAACTTTAGCTATAAACAGCTGAACTTTAGCTAAAATTGCAGCAAATAGCTGAATATAGCAGCAAGCATTTGTAAGAAGCTTAAATAGCACAAAATAGCAGAAACAAGTACAAAAATGTAGAATAGCAGAATCGTAATTTTAGTTAAAATAGCAGAAACAAAAGGTAAAATTAGCAAAAAAAGGTAGCTAAAATTTGCACAAGACAGTGAAAAAGAGCAGAACGAGAACAAAATGTGTAAGGGTGCTGTGAAGATTCAGAAACATTTTAAAGGATTTTAAGGTTGTTGAAAACAGCTCCATTCATTTTCTATGGGGAAAAAGTGAAATAGCTGAAATACCAAAAGTCATAGCAGACTTGTCATAAATAAGCTGAACATTTTGATATATGAATTGTTGAAATGGCACAAAAACTGTGGAACAAGTTAGATGTCGAAAAACGTATAGACAAAAAATGATCTCAATAGTGTGAATTTGTTAGATTACAAATGGCAACATTTATCTAATATTACTCTAATAATATTTATCTAATGGATCATATTTTCCTGCTACCTCCTAGTGTTAATGGCTGTAATCATTTCAACAACTGGAGCTGGGGGACAAGGTATCTGCATGTTTTTGATAGCGTTTGTTTTCTGTAGTTTAAGGTTCGGGTTTTATCCAAGCTGGCTTCAGAGTTGAACTCCTACATGCCAGAGAAAGTTGCAGAAGACACCAGCAGCATCTTGCGCTCTCCCATGCCGGGGACAGTTGTAGCTGTGTCCGTAAAGCCTGGTGATACGGTAAAATATCCCAACATGTAGATATTTACAGCAAGCCTGCAGTGTCTATGTATGCCTCTATGTAAAGACCCTTTCAGTAGCCAAGCTAACCTGAGTATAAAACCTCTTCAGTCAGTTAAAGGAAGTGCTGGWATGAGACCTGATTAATCAGATGTTTTTAGGCTTTAACTCTTGACTCTGATGCTCTCTGGTCATGTGTTTTAAAGGTTGCAGAAGGTCAGGAGATCTGTGTGATTGAAGCCATGAAGATGCAGAACAGCTTAACGGCTGTCAAACAAGCAAAGGTAACAGGTTGAAATGTGACACTTCTTACTAACTTTAACTAAGCGTGAATGGATTTTTGTAGGTCGGGWTTAATCCTTACCTGCCCAACTAAAAGAAGAAGACTCTTAATCCACATAAAACCGATATTTGCAGTTGGGAAACAAATTTGTATTTYACAGAAACATTAGAATATTAACTGKTACAGAAAGTAAGGAAATTTGTTTGTTAGATTATCTCTTTGTTGTAACTATATCTGGTACCATTGTAAAACCTGTTAATTTCCTTTTTAAATGGTGTCACATTTGTAAGGATTATGCATTGTGGGATGAGCAGTAGAGCTGATTTTGTGGGACGGGTTGCCAGGATTTATTGCCAAAAAGCATTGTTACAATAAAGAAATAATCTACCAAACATCAACTTCCTTACTTTTTGTGCTATGTTTATAATCTTTGATAATCCACAGCAGAATATTTTTCGTTTCGTCACAGATGGGATCTCATTTTCTGACCTTTATTTCAACTGTAGGCAGTGTGCTGTTTCTCATTTTCAGTTTATTTGCAAAGTAGGTGTAAAACCACACAATAAMATCATCAAACCAATTCTGTAGTGTACTGAGGCCACTACAATGTGTTGCACAAATATTCCACCAAACAACACTGAGTGGGTAAGGAGGGTTTTAGTCTGAGGAACCTCCAGGAGTCTAAAGATAAGGCAGACAATTTGAAACTTGCCAAAAGGCATATTGCAGACTCCCCAAACATGTGGCAAAGGAGCTGATGAGAAGAAACGTAATGTTTTGCATATAACTACTGTTCCCTGAAGGAAAGGAACGAGGTACAACACATCATGTATGGGAAACCACGCCCC